TATATGTAGATGAAAACCAAAGGCCTATATTTGAGAAGAGAAAGCATCATGTCAGAATTCAAATGAAGGTCTCATCCCTCCTCAAGCTGTAGCATTTGTAAGTTCATTTTCTGCCATGGAGACGGAAGTCATAATAATATCACTAAATAAAATAGATTCAATAGAATAGAGTTCAATAAAATGAAGTTTTCTGGTTCCTGTTGGGAATTAAGCTCAGAGTATGATGGATAAAGTGAACCAATCCCATATCTTCCTAATAAACATTTTTAAATGAAGGACTGAAAGGGAGGTCTTAGCTGGTATCAAAAGGACAATTTCCTGATAGTATAGGAAAGGGTCACAAAGGCAGGAAGTATAATGCCCAAGGCTTTATACATTGGAACCCAACTCTTTCCATTGTTAAAGAGGGCATGACTATTTTCTGGGGATACCAGGTGCTTACTGCCCAGCCTGAGTCCATGCTTTAAGACACATGAGCTCTGGTCATGATGAGCTCATCAGCGTGAGACTCAGAAAACACTTAGGGTCACAGGAAGGATGAAGTGCCTCCTGAAGGCAGCAGATGAATCCATGGAGGAATGATAAAAACTAAGTTTACTGGACTACAAATGGGTCTCCTGGGAACAGAGAATCAGCAGGATGAATTTCCTGTCTTTCTAGAACAGTGTCCCCAAGGAGAACAAGAGGGAAATGAGCTAATGAGCAGATATAGGGAGCTGTGGCTCTCTGCTCTGATGTGGTCCCTCAGTGCACAGCCTTGTGCTGGACAGGTCGTGGAGGTATCTTTGAGGTCTTCAGTCTGCCCAGGAGCCTAGCACTCAACTCCTTCCTGCTGTGTTATCTGAGGACAGAGCTTCAGTCACCATCAAGCCCACCCAGGCAGGACCTTGCACTTCCACAGGGAGACCTTCCTCCCAGAGTTGGTCTCCAGGTGAGTCTGAGAGCTCAGTGGACACTGCAGGATTGCAGCAGAGAGAATGGAACCCACAACTCTATAGCTGAGGTCAGGGGAGAGCCAGGCTGAGCTAACCCAGAGCAGGGCTGCTGTGGCCACTTGCTGTCCTTATGGGTGATTTATTCACAGGCTGCATTGATACATCACACTTAGCTGAGAAGTGGACATTGCACTGGTTAACGCAGGGTTCACTGCTGAACATGAAGTGGTGCTAACAGAGGCTGAAGAGAAGAAGGGAGGGAGGCTTCCAGTGCTCCCAGAGAAAGAACAGAAGCTAAAGGATGTTTGCAATTAAGAGAGCAGAGGAATAGGGATTAAATTGTGGAGGGTGAAATTGTGAAGTTAGGGTGTATTTTGATGCATGTGCACTTAAGATGAGAAATATTTGATTATATTTATGTAGTGTCGACAATTCCTGAGTAAGATTATCTCACTGCAAATGTTCATGGGACATACATTTTAAAGTTTTTTTCTGTAATCTCATT